CTATATGGGTAAATACTTGCTATATTTTGCATGTAATACATATATGTAGTTTATCTGTGATAGATCCGTACATTTTGTATGTGATGGATCATGCATTTGTGATATTATGTTTGTCCTTGATATGTTACATGTGTGATATAGATCCATTACATACATATTTGCATGAGGATATGTCATGCCTTTTGTCGTAGATTCGTGTGTAGACTGATAAAAATTTATAGCATTATTGATGTCCCACGAGTATAGGGGATCTAGTCTAGCCTTTTTCATAAGTAATAGTGTCGAATTTAATGAGGAGTGTAAGAAATTTACAAGAAGCTTTCAGCAAGGTTTTACTGTAAAATCTGTAAAAGTAATTTGACAGGTTGTGGCCTGGCACGGGTGCACGGGTGGTGCACGATATGATTGAATGGAGCGGAGACACGGGTGCAACCGTGGTGGTGGCCTGGCACACAAATCAGCAATTGGTGCAGAGCATAGCACAACATGAACAACATTTTTTTCAACTTTAGGAGCTCTCCACTCCCAATTTCATTTGCAATAATGAAATTGATAATACAAAGCAAGTTTCATGGTCACAAGGATCACCATGATTTTAAATTAGCAGACAACAAGAACTCTACAGCTAACTACTTATTACACGAATATGGGTAGATAGCAACACAGGAAAGCAACCAATCCCAATACCAAAACTAATGAACCAGAAATACTAATCAAAATACAGTACCGCAACTGTATCTACCTTAGTGCTCCACAAAACTCCATCTCGCCCTGCTATTCTAAGCACCAAGTGCCCAGCCTCTTCTTGTGTTGAAAATCTGAGCCGCAATCTACAGAAGCCACCTTTCTCCTCTCGCTTGAATGGCTCCATGTCCTCGTTTCTGTATACCAGACCAAATTTTAAGCCATTGAGCAGCCTGTGCAATCACACTACTCGGGTCGTAACGAAACACATTCCTAAAACAAGCTTTATCCCTATATTTTCATGATGCTCAAATCACTGCTTTGACACCAACTAAATATATGGACAACAACATGAACAACATTTGCGGCAGAAACAAATAATAATTCATCTATAGGGTGGTGATTAAGTACGCAACAAACAAATCTGACTGGATTCATCAGTAAATCTTGAGGTGACGAACCACCGGTAGAGAAGGGATTGTGTGGTGGGGAGAAAAAAAATCTGAAGAGAGGTTGAAGATGGAGGGGCAACCTACTGGATCAGAGAAGAATGGATGCTAGCCTAGGAGGAGCTCAATGGCGTCGATGGCGTGGAGAAGGCAGCCGTCTCCTCACGTGGCCGAGGTTAGGTCCTGTCCCGGCGTGTTGTTCTGACCTCCATGGAAGCCAAGCGAGGTGGATGCAGCCGTGGAGGATCTGGCCGAAGCCTGACCTAGTCGATCTCCCTGTTCTCTTCTCTTCTCTTCTGATGAGGTGAGACCGTGAGAAGGAGAGGGTGGGAGACAAGGCCGATTGCTTAGGGGGAGAGGATAGGGGCGGAGGCCGGCGGTGAGGAGGCGTGAGGGGGGCGACTAGTCTGCTCGAGGTTGTGGTCGCCGGCATTGCCGGGCAGGATTCGTGCAACCCTGCATCTGGTGGGGGGACAGCCCATCGGGCCCAATTTAACACCGAGCGTCCAAAAATGCTCATGGAGCAGCGGCCCAGCACGGTGAGCGGTGGATATTAGCGAACGAAACGAGCTTAGACACAATTCACTGCTAATCCAACGGCCAAAAATGCTTAGAATTGACGATCCGACGGCTAGAAACGCTAATGACCTGAGAGGGCTGGAAAAGTGCTCAGTTTTAATGTCTTAAAATTCCTTTATTGTAGGAAAAATTTAGCTTTATGCAAATGATAACCATAGAGCCTCCACCAGCCATATATGCATGTAGTGATAGCTGTTATTCTGCCCATTGCTTTGTAGTGTTATCTTGCCAGCATATTCCATGTGCTGACCTACACAGGCTGCAATGTATTATGTTGCAGAATTTTCAGACGAATAGTAAGGTGCGCTAGGTCGTTGTCATGCACTCAGTTTTGTCGTGGAGTTGGATGGACTCTTCTACCTTCGAAGCTTCCGCTGTTATCTTATTTAGATAGCCTTCACCCATATAAATGTAATAAGTTCTTTTTTGAGACATTCGATGTAATAAGTGTGTGATTAAACTCTGTTATAAATCCTTGAGTACTGTGTGTGTCAGCAATACCGATCCAGGGATGACACTTAAGCATAGCGACTTGACCGTCTGAGGTCGGGTCGCTACAAGATGGTATCAGAGCACGCGTTGACTGTAGGACGCAACCACCAGGACAAGCCACATGATACTCTTCTCTACTCATTTCTCACTCTTCTCCATTTTCAACTCTATAGATGACGGACCCAAGGAACAAGTTCACTCAACCGGATGATGACACCCCTTTCGGACGACTGTAAGTGCATCTAGTGCCCCTTAGTGATTTTGGTGTATTGAAGACTTATAGGTTAAGGGAATAATGCATTTGTGAGTGTACATAGGACTATAAGTCTATGAGGAGTTTGATATTTACAGAGAAAGTCGACCCTTAAAAATGAATGTCTTCAACTGAGGACCTTGGATTTCTGAAGACTTTGAAAGTGAAGAGATTGGTGTGA